CTCTTTTTTTTTTTTTTATGGAAAGGAAGATCAATAATGTTTTCACTTCCCCTCCTCAGCTGTTCTCCTCAGCTGTTCGAACACAGAACCTATCAATCTCCTATCAATAGTTATCACCAAGTTGCGCTTCATTAATTAAGTAGAGTTAACTTACCATTTTGACAATGTTGAAAACACATTGCAGTAAATATCCCATACACAGAAAGAATGAAACAATGGCCCATACAAAGAATGAAACAACGGGAAGTGAAGACACAAGACACAACATGTAACATGACTTGTAGCTGGACCAAAACTAAAAACCAACTAAAAAAATCTATATAGATTCAAAATGATAGTGACTTTAATAAAATAAGTTGATCAGAATTTGACTTGGTAATATGACCGTTGAACCTGTGATCCGAAAGGTTGCCCGAGGGGGATTAAAAATGATATTTCCAATATAAAATTTTAAGCTTAAGCTTATCTGTTATTAAAATTTTAATAAGTTGTAAATTTGTCAGTTCCATTTAGTCAAGAGATCGAGTCTATTGGTTCCCTAAAAATTTTTAAGCTTAAGCTTATCTGTTCATCTCAATCTAAGAAATTGACACCTAAAATTCGCCAATATAATAATAATAGGATCAAACACAAATCGAAAACAAACAGAACAGTGTGTATTGAATATTGATAATAACTATAAAAAAATATAGTATAAATCATAGAAGAGGAGAAATTATTCACCAGAGGTCCAGAACAATAACTCTGCCCACTAAACAACGCTGTGTATCCCTACACACGTAAAATCCAGAAAAATATAAAATTNAAAAAAAAAGAAGATGAAAAGAAAAGAAACAAAAAAAGGAAGCGAAAACTCGATATAGACTAAAGTACGCCGGCAGACACAACTATTCAAATATCTACGCAACAAGCGCGACCGCAAGCAAACCGGCGGAGAAGGCAGCGATTCCCACCCTGTTCAACACGCCGCCATTTGATTGGGTCGCCGGCGCCGGTGCGATGCCCGACGGAGGTAAGGCGACAGATGGAGACGGGGAGGAGGCCGACGGCGGAGGAGACGGCGGCGAGTCGACGGACGCCGGGGAAGGAGAAGCAGGCGAGGTCGCCGGAGGCGGCGTGGCGGACGCAGTCGGGGCTGCGGAAGGAGAGCTCCTCGGCGGCGCAGACACTGTAGGCGGAGATCCAACCAGAGGCGGCGGCGACGGAGCGGCGGAAGCGGACGGCGAGGACGATGGAGACGGTAGCGGCGACTGGGCGAGGGAAGATCCGATCAGCAAAGCCACGACCATCAGAAGAGAACAAACCTTGGAAACCGCCATTGGAGAGCACTGAAACTGAGAAGAATTTTAGAGAGAGAAAGTGTAAAAGTGGAAGGGATATATAGAGAGAGGAATTTTTTTGATCAAACTAACTCCGATCTGTGGTATAACAGAACAGAGAAAAGGCGTGAGGCATTATTATAGGGGTGAAGATTGCGTGAAGTGCGGGATTCTGATATCTTACTAGCCGTTGGATGAAGATCTGCCTCGAGAGCGAATCTGTGGCGTGCTCTATTCAGCGGCGAGGATTGAGATCGATAAAAAGCGTGTTGATTTTGCTTAGGGGAACGTCTTTTACCAAGTACGGCGAAACACGGTTATAGCCTTGACCAGTAAAAACGCGTATGTCAAAACTACTTTCGCTGTAAATTAATAGGTTAAACTATTAATAAATTTTATTGGTGAGTATGTAATACCATAATATAAGATATATTTATACTAGTACTCGTGCAAAAATACAAGCAAACTATTATAAGTTTAATTATGCATAAAAAATTAAAATTATAACTTAGATAATTGAATCGAATTTTAAAAATGTAATCATTCATAAAACTAAATAGTATAATAATTTAACCATATATGATCACAATATTAATCGTGTGAAAATAATAAATAATGTAATTTTTATAATTTTGAATGATCGTGATAAATTAATTAGCCAAAAAATATTAAAATTATTATTATAGCAATTATTTATGAGATTTAAGGGGTTTGACTATGTCATTAAATCCAATTAGTTTATTTTTTTAAAAAAAATAATCACTTAGTGAAATGCAAAAAAAAAAGATAATATTAATTTTATAATAACTATTTTGAAAAAAATAAATTGCAATAAATTTTTTATACGTATGTAATTTCATATACCAATTAGTGTTATATTTAATTAGTTAGTTGTTATAGTTATTATTATATGATACAATATTTTAAAAAAATACGTAAGTAATAAAATGTAACGGTTTATTACCATGGTGAACTAAAAGAAAAAGCAATAAATGAAAAAATTATCATAAGTAATGTGTGTATATATATTCATAGAAAATGAATGTAAGGTATATCTTGTATTTATCTTGCATCACCTATAAGTTCTTTATAATTGGATCTGTGCAATTTGAATGTGCTTTATATATTAATTGAACAATGTAAAAAAACGTAATTATAGAAGTTGGTGGTAAGTTTGAAATTTGTATATTAGTATGTTTAATTATTGTAAAATAGACCATAATAGTGAATTTTGTCAAAAAAGATATATGGAAAAGTTTCCATGCGCATTCATGAATCAACATATCTAACGCCTTTAAATTAAATCCAGCCTAACTCACATTAATGCCGGATATTATGAACCTAATCAGCTATCTCAACTCCTAATTACTATAACTAACTAATGAAATCAGGTTTAGAATTTTATTAATATGTATTAATGTATGTTACTAAAAATTGACTTTATAGATACAGACTAAAAATTATTACGTTATTATTCTTGTACTTATAATCATGCAGTTTTGTTATGAAGTTAACAGTTGTCTCCATAGTGAAGTCAACCTTCTATATACAACAAGTAAACTATATCATATTCTCTGATTACTTAAATAATATTAATAATTTTATTAATATGGTATAGTTTACTTGTTGTATATAGAAGGTTGGCTCTACTATAAAGCCAACTGTTGGCTTCATAACAAAACTGTATAACCATATTTTAAGTGATATTGATACATATATTTTTTTTTGTTTTTTTGTTGTATTCGTAAGTGTTCAATGATACTCACTTTACTTTTTTACAACTATTTTTCTTACAAATAAGTGACTTTTTTTTTTAAAAAAAAAAAAGAGAGAGAGAGACAGAAAAATAAAATTTTATATTTTATTTAATACTATTCTCATTCAAATCTTCTTAAATCATACATGGTAAAACAATGTTCCAATTGTACTATACGTATTTTTCTAATTTGCAATTTGTAGTATTTTTAATTGTAAATTGTAACTTGAACTTCATGAACATTCATAATTTGCAACTCTACTCCTTAATCATACTGTATGAGATAACCACACCAGGTCGACTGGACTAGAAGGGCAACTAGACCAAACTGGGTCAGTCATCAGGCCGAATGAAGAAAGAAGACTCCATAGGGTTGAGTAGGTCCTTCTCTCTGCGACTTCGGCCAAGTGACGTCTCGACCATCCAATTTCCTCTCAATCATTTCGAGCACCTCTGTAATCTGTGTTTTCAACGGGGCGTACTTGGTATATCTTTGACCACCCTGAAGGGGTCGATCCTTCCATCGATCCTACCGACCCCTCTCTGACCTGTTTTGCTTGTCCATCCTAGGCGAGTTACATGCAACTCACTGGGTCAAAATATCCATGCAACACAACCATATTTTCGAATGATCTTATATGCCTCGACGGGTTAGTCAACCCATCGTACGTTAAGCTGGTCTCCCAAAAGTTATTTGGTATAGTTGCCTCCAGAATATCCCTTGAGAAGGGGTGTCCTCGAGCTCGACCTGCCGGCCTGCCATCTACCTTTGCTTGCAACTGGCGCAACTGCTCTGTCATTCTTTCCAAGGCCCGATCTCTCGGGGCTCCATCTCCTCTATAGCTCGATTCGTCCTCCTTGGTGTTCAACAAATGTGCACCCACCACCGTGTTCGGCGCGGTGGTGGCGTGTGAGGTGTGGTGAGTGGCTTTCTGCACAGCTCCTGTCGCAATCGTGTTGGCGATCATCCTCTCCAACTCCTCTCTAGGCATCGTCACCAGCTGCTGCCCCACATGCTCCACGTTCGTCGTGGTGGTTCCATCGCCTAAGCCATCACTCTTATTGGTTGTGCATTGGTCGGATCCTTCTACTGCTGTGCTGGAACCACCACTCCCTGAGGTGCTCGAGCCTCCTGTACCTGGCTCGAGCCTGCCGTAGCTACAGGGACCGCCGATGAACTCCCTAAGCCTTAAGAAGGATGCATCAGGGTCATTGGGGTCTGGGAAGGTCCAGAGAACCCCGGTGGAGGGCCAGCTCTGGACGGCCGTGTGGTCGTCCACACTTCATCGAAAGTTGTCTCTAAGTTCTTCCTTGGGATTTTTCCCGCCATGGTTATGGTGAACACAAGCTTTTCGCACGAAGTCCCACAGACATTGCCAAATGATATGCAAAGACCCTCGTCCGGCTAGAATCGGTTTGCTCTTGAGCTTTCTCGCCGGTTGAACGCCTTTAGACCTGCAGAAACTCTCACACTTGAAGAGTTTTCCGGTGAAGAGCCTCCGATGCTTAAATGAGCATGTGTAGAAGCAGAGCCGTCTCCAGAAATTTGGAGGCCTCAAGCAAATTTTACCTTTTCGAATTTTCCGATTTGAACTTGCGTGGTACGGCTATTTGTAGATAGAATCATACAAGAAAAAAAAATCTAATTAAACAAGGTTATTAAATAAATAAATAATTGTAAAAAAAAAACGATTTTCTTGTTTTTTTAGACTTTGAAAAAATTACCTTTAATAAGTTATAAATTGCATTCAAACAGTCACGAAGACAACAAGGAGGAGAAAATAAAAATCATATTACAACAAAGAATATTTATATTCTCACACAACTTGTTCTGACCGAACATAATATGAAAACAAATAAAATATTTAGGGCCTCAAATTCTTACACAAAGTATATATTTTGCTATTGGCTCTTTCATTAATTGGCCTCTTGATGTGTGTAGTGAGTCAAGTTCATATTTAGTCACTAGCCCCTTTATTTGTGTAAATAAACAAAATCAAAGACAAATATATAAAACATTAAAACAAAAATTAAGGCCCCTAAAAATTGGAGGCCCTAGGCATGGGCCTATGGTGCCTCCCCTCTAGAGCCGGCCATGTGTAGAAGACAAGTTACAAAAAATATAGTAATGTAATATTTAAAATCACATATCTCACCCCTATTTATAGGGGTAAAATACCTGCTTCTAGAAGGTTGCCCGGAAGTAGTGAGCTGGCTGCCCAAGCTGCCTGAGCTGCCCGATAGTACAACCCACACTTCCCACTGCCAGAGGTAGGTTGCAGAATGCGGACCAATTAAGTAGTGCCACGTGTAACACAAATTATAGTAAGATACATTCTTATCCCTTAATCCTTCGTATTATACCACTCAATAGTATGACCCGCTTGAGGTCTACCGAGGTAGAATACTGGCTATCCTGGACCGAGTATTGCTCCTTCTGGTCGATCACACGACCAACCGTGCTTACAGGTCGAGTCTCTATCAGGCCATCCGAAGGACCTAGCTCGACATGTTGCCTTGTACCCCTTATGTTGTCTTCCATATCGAAGGCTTTTAGTCCTGAGTTGGAAACGTTCGACCACTACCAGCTCTTGTGTGGTTCTGCTCGACCGGACAACTCGCTCGACCTAGTAGACCGGTTTATTCCCTTAGGTATGATATCTCATATCACTCCTAAAATTGTGTATATAATCGTATAGATTGAGTGATTTTATCACTGGAATTACGTACTATATGTATTGTATCTATATCTATATTTATATATATTGTATGTAAAATGTGTTAGTATCCATAATACTAGATTACATAATTATCTTCCTAAATATTTGTCCAAATTGTTCTAACTTTTACTTTTATTTAGAATCTTCATGTTGTAAAAAAATATTGACAAAATAAAAAATATCAAAAGAAAGTCGGATCATTAACATGTACATTTACAATATACTTTTTTTTTAAAAATTCATACTCAATCTAATTTTTGATAGTTTATATTGTCATTTTGATAAATTAGTTTACTTATTTGACTATTCATTCATGGTGCAAGTCAAATAAATTTTTAATAGTCAAATAAGTAATTATTCATAACGTACGAATTAACACTAACTTGGACATAAATGAAAGAGTCGATTATTTAGAGTTTAATAAATTATTCAACTATTTAAATTTTAATTTCAACAGTTTATAGAAAAATAAATTCATTTAATTAATGAATCATTATAAGTTTTATATTCATACTTGTTATCCACATAGGTGTTAAGTTTAAATATATGATAAAAATTTTACGAAAATAAATATTTTACGAAATCACATTATAGTCAAATCAAAATTCTGAACAATATTTCTAAAATGACGCTTATTTTAAAATGAATATAATATAATTATTATTAATTTGATACCCCACGCAGGTTGCATACTAAATTTAAATACACATGATTTAAATAATTTTACACAAGCTAAATTTCATGTAGCATTTTCAATAAATTAATATAGGAAACATATATTACATATTAATTTTATATTTTAAATTTATATATATTATATAATAAGCTTTTTGAAAATTTAAATATTATTTAATATTTTTTACCTGAGTCGCATGGGGTTCGTAGTAGTGAGACTGAAAAGCCAAAGACGAATGTTAGTGGCATTTCTCTATATAGTTTGGTTTGTAATTATCGTACCCTAGCCAGTTTGTGCATCACTATGTGAATATTTATAATGTTTTATGAAGAAAAATATACAACAAATTATCGAGGGTGTAACAGTTAATCCATAAGTTGTGCAATCTTAAGCTCAAAAGTAACTCGTGATGGCTGAAGTTAAATAGATTTACGAGTTTAAGGTTGTACAATACCAACGCTGCATAAGTCAGCAAGCTACCAGAATTGGCTTTTCTAGCTCAGCTTCAGATATTCATCTCGGGAAAATCATCTAAGCAGCTCAGCTTCTCCAGAATCAGCTTTTCTTGCTTCATGTCTAGTTACACCAGTTTCGGTCAAGGGACAACTAAAATCTGAACCCGGGAGCAAACAACTATTATTATTAGTAAACAAAATAAGGTGTTAGCCCAGCTAGTTAACATGGTTTGCATTACGATTCTTATTTCGATTTTACAAAATGCTCAAAACTGGATTTCCCGTTTTTACCCTTCAAATAGCCAGCTTAAAACCTTAGAGGTCGAATTATAGTTCTACCACAGTCACAATTATAGATAATTCTCTGCATGCTTTTTTGGTAATAGAGAGATTCTGAAGGATACATTCTTGGTCAGGGTTGTCTGTGAAATTGGAGTGCAATGCATTCCCGACACTGTCGACTATTGCTGAGGTCGTCATGGATGACTCAACACATAATATGGCCGCAATTGCATCCAGCCGAGTCACCTCATTCCGGAACATGAGCCTTGCATGTGCTATATATACATCAAGTTGACAAGTTAAAGCAAACGGGGAAAAAAAGGAAAATTAAAATCTAGAAATATCAAGTCATGTACCTTGAGCTAGGCGTATCAAGCTTTCCAGCATGCGAATTGTTGTCCTTGCTGCAATACATTTTTTATTTACGAATATATATACACATGCATAATATGAGAAAACAATGATGCTATAGAATAACTAAAGCAGTTGGTGAAAAAATAAACCTGCGTTTTGAGCGGCGGATCGTCTCTGCAGTTGATAATAGCTAGATATAATCTTTTCAGCTTCCTTAGTGAGGACTGGTCTGAAATATCCTTTAACGTAATGAATGTACCTGCTCGTGAAGTGGCTCCGTTATTCTCACATGTGAGTATATATATAACATAAATCGAAGTACATTTAAGGGACTGAAAAGTTCTCCAAGTACCTCACCTTCTAAGCATGGTAAGAGACCACATGTCAGACAAATCTTCATCATGTGTCCCTTTTCTCTGTTCTGCCTGCAAATAAAGTTCG